TCTTTCTTTCTTTCTTTCTTTCTTTCTTTCTTTCTTTCTTTCTTTCTTTCTTTCTTTCCCTTTCAAGATTTATTTATTATGTATACAACATAATACATGTCTACATGTACACCTGAATGCCAGAAGAGGGCACCAGATTTCATTATAGATGGTTATGCTGGGAATTGAACTTGTGACCTCTGGAAGAGCAAGCAGTGCTCTTTCTGAGAGCCATCTTTCCAGCCTACCAGATTTTAAAACAAGTTCCAGCCAGGTGTGGTGGTGCATGCCTTCAATCCCAGCACTCAGGAGGGAAGATTTCTAGTAAGTTTTCAGGGTCTGAAGAGATGGCTCAGCAGTTAAGGGTTAAGTGCATTTGCTGCTCCAGCTACGAAAAATGCAAAACCCTCTTCTGGCGTCTACAAGAGATCTGCATGCAAATGTGTATACATGTATACAAATATATGCACACACATGTAAGAAGAATAAAATGAGCATACTTTCAATCCCAGCACTGAGGAGGCAGAGGCAGCCATATCTCCGAGTTCAAGGCCAGCCTGATTTACAGAGTAAGTTCCAGAAGATCCAGGACAACACAGAAACCCTGCCTCAAAAAATGAACAAAAATAATAAGACAGAAAGAGAGAAAAAGAAGAAAGAAGAAATAGAAAAATGAAGAGGGCTGGGAGACGGCTCAGCAAGCATAAGGAGCTGAATCTGGATCTCCAAACCTCACAAAAATTCCAAAGTGGGTGGAATCCTAGCCCTCATGAGCTAGATAGCCAGACCATCAGAAGGAGTAAACTCTGGGTTTAGCAAGAGACCCTGCCTCATTTATATGGTAAAGTGATCAAGGAACACACCCCAACTCAACACAGGCCTACAAGCATGCATTCAAGAATAGTAAAGGGCTAGAGCAATAGCTCAGTGCTCATGAGTGCTTCCTGAGCAATCATGAAGGCTGGAGTCTCACAAATGATTTTAACTCCAGCCCCAAGAGACCCAAGGCCACCTTCTTGCCTTAGTGGACACTTGCACACACATAAATAAACATGTTGGTTTTTTCTTTAAGCAGAAATACATTAAAAGAAAACTTTTTTGTTGTTGTTGTAAGTGATAATATTTATTGATTTATCTTCTAGTAAAGCTTGCTGTTATAAAAGAAAACTTTAAAAAATGTAAAAGTAATCATAAATCAGTTCAGAAAGTAGGTGCCCCATCACTGATTTTTATAACCTGATCACCCCTCTTGGAAAGGCTTCATTGGTAATATGCTGGTTAAGGGTAGCTACCCAAATCCTCGATCAGGAAAGAACCTCACAGAAGGCAGGTTAAAAAGTGAGACTGGAGGGATGGCTCAGCACGCACCTGCCTGTGTGGGCCCTGGGTTTGACTCCATGTACAAAAGAGATAGGGACACAAAGAATGGTGGCGGGCCACTGCAATGGTTCTGCAGCTACAGAAACTTCTGCACAGGTCTGGATTATACAATTATAAATTGCACTGAGCAGTGGAGGTACAGGTCTTTAAGGCCAGCACTCAGGAGGCAGAGGCAGGTGAATCTATTTGAGTTCGAGGCCAACCAGGTGTACAGAGTATGCTCCAGGACAGCCAAAGTTACAGAAAAAAAAAAAAAAACAAACAAAACCAAAAAACAAATCTGTCTTAAAAGACCAAATAGGGCTGGATGTGGAAATATACACCTTTAATAATCCAAGCACTCCAGGTGGCAAAAGAAGGCAGACCTTTTTGAGTTCTAGGCCAGCCTGGCCTATGTAGAGTTGCAGGCAAGCTGGGGCTACACAGCAAAATCATGTGTAAAATTAATTACTTAAAAGAATGGTGAAACAGAAAAAAAGAACAGCAGGCATAAACATCAATGTTTATGTTTTAAAGAGAAGAAAATGTCAATCTAATTTCATTGTTCGAATACATGAATCAAATTATCATGTTCCCCTTCATAAATGCCGCCAATTAGTAGGTGTCACTTAAAAAAAATTACCAATATGCTGAGCCAAGAACAACCAGCTTTCAGGAAAAGAAGGGCTGTGAGCAAATGCGAGACTGCTTCCAGTGCTGGGTTTACAGGAGTGCACCACCACTGCCCGGCTGCTTGCTTTATTCTTTAGGGAGAAAGCAGAAATTAGACCTCCCTTTTATTTGTTGTTTTTTGCTGTTGTTGTTTTGAGACAAAAGTTTCTCTGCTTAGAGCCTTGGCTGTCCTGGAACTACAGAGATCAGCCTGCCTCTGGGTGCTAGGATTAAAGGTGTAAGCCACCTCGCCTCCCTTTTATTCTGCAGCCTAATTCTCTACTTCATTCCCTTTGTCCATAATCACTCCTGTCTTATTATTATTATTTGTTTTTACTTTGGCTCTTCGAGTCAGAGTTTCTCTGTGTAGCCCTGGCTGTCTTAGAACTCTGCAGAACAGGCTGTCCTTGAATTCTGAGATCCCCTGCCTCTGCCTTCAGAGGCTGGGATTAAATGTATGTGCCACCATACCTGGGGACCTCTTCTATTGTATTTCTTTTCAATAGAAGAGGAAAAAGACAAAGATTGGGGTTGACATTTGAGTTTCTAGCATGTTTTTCAAAATTTATACACAAGAGCCCACTAGTATTCAAATCAGTAAGTACAAAATAACATTTGAGTAATGTCCAGGTCAATGGGGAGACATCAGTCTCCCAGCTTGCTTGGAAAGTACCTTTACCCAGCTGAACCATCTCACCTTCCTCAAGAAAGTGACAGAAGGACCTTACAATGTATACCATTTAAACCTGACAACTGTAAGAGCCATGAGTGTTACTTTGATTTTTGTTGTTGTTTTTTAACAAATATTTTTTTCTCCATGGCTGGGAATGGTGGCACATGCCTTTAATTCTAGCACTCATGAGGCAGAGGCAAGTAGATTTCTTTGAGTTCAAGGCCAGCCATGGAAGGCTGTTCAGTGATACCCTAATTAATTTCTTTTTACATTTTATTTGTATAGTGTGTGGGAAGGTATATACACACTACCATACATGTGAAAATCAGAGAACAACCTGCTTTTCTTTCACTGTGTGGTTTCTGGGGACTGAACTACATTATCAGGCTTGGCAGGGCATGCCTTTATCCATGGAGCTAGCTGGATGGCCTTGTTTTAGTGTTTTTGAGACAAGGCTTCATATAGCGCAGACTGGCCTCTACCTCCCAAATGCTGCTGGGATTAAAGCCTAGTTTCTGCTTTCTCAAATAAGGAATTTGGAGGACAGGGAACTAAATCTAGGCAGGAAAAAACAGCTTTAGGGAAAGGGCTCTGCTAGATGGGGCAGAATAATCCTGTGAGAGCAGATGTGAGTGTAGAAGGGCTGGGGGAAGCAACCACAAGGGACTGGACAGGGCCAACAACACCAGGGCAGGAATTGCAGGTCATCCCCAAGTACAGCACATTTAAAGTCAATCTGAACCCAATCTCAAAAAAAAAAAAAAAAAAAAAAAAAAAAGGCAAAGGTGGCTGGCTCATACCTACAGTCCTCCAGAGGCTGGGGGGGTCAGGCTCCCATTCATCTGAGATCATGAGTCCCCCAGCTCCATCCTTGGCAGTGAATAGCTACTGAGGCATGGGGAGCCATCTTCGGTAAGTAATTTCACACTCCTGTTCATGTAAACAATCTTAAAACTGTGTGAACCGTAATAAATAAAAATAAAAAAGCTATGAAGTAGGAAGGAGTCCAAAGGGAAGCAAATAAAAAAGGATAATGGAGATGTATATGAACAATATACATTAATGTCTGAAGTTGTCAAAAAAACCAAACCAAAACATGCACAGTAAGCCGAGAGCAGTGTGCCTTTAATCCCAGTGGTTGGGAGGCAGAGGCAGGTGATCTCTAAGCTCAAGGGCAGCCTGGGCTACAGAGAGACCCTGTCTCAAACAAACAAGCCAACAAGGAACTAGAGAGATGGCTCAGCGAT